TGCCATGCTTGTATTTATATTGTATGTTTTGTATATTTAATAGTAAAAGTAATTATTTGCCATGGTACAATTCTAGCAGGCTCATCCAGATGAGAAGCACAAGACCTAGTAAAGCAAATGAGTACAGTGAATTAATTTATCTTGCCCCCCTCCTCCCTACCAAATTTGATTCTAACATGCTTGCTGATTTGCTATAATTATTTTAATTAATCCAGAAGTATATAAAATGTGCACAAAGTTGGACAGCTTAATAAGTATGACTGCTGAAAGTTTAAACACAGATTTGTTCTTGTGGGGGAGATGTGAATTTATGTTTTTTATGCTTGTCATCCACTATCCTGTTCACAAAATGTGCTAGCTAATAGAACTTTAAACCTGGTATGATGTTTTTGAAGTAAACTAATTTTGGTCTTTCAATTTTGGTGTTTCTTAGCATGAACAGTTGGACCATCTTTGTGTGTGCCCCTTCCCCCCCAAGAAGTTAATTTGAATAATAACAAATCTATCCTGTTTCTATACAAGACATACCCCATGTCAGATGATGCTGACATGTTATGCTGGCACTCGCTGAAGTCTTTGGAGCAGGAAAGTAAAAATACTCCTCCAAGATGTACTGATAAATGTGCAGTTTTGCCAGTAAAACTGCATGTATACTTGGGGCATGTGCTGGCACATTTCTATTGGTCAGGGATCAACTTCTTCATGTTGCGGACTAGAATAGCAGTGTCTTCAGAAATCTGTAATACAGACTTGGCCAAAAGAGAGAGAAGAAAAAATTCTACCTCAAAGAACTTTCATAATTTCTAGTGTACCAGATCATATCTCCATTTTGTTTTTCGTTATTTGAATTGAGTTTTCTGGGATGTACAGGGAGGGAAGCGGAGAGATGGGCATTGCCTAATCAATAGATAGCATTAAAAGACTAGTTACTCGAGTACTATTCTGACTTTGCTTTAAACCAGTGCCAAATTCAGGTTTGTGGGTTCTCTGTCTGAAACAAGGCAGAACTTACAAATAAACAAGGCAGTTTCAAGTGAAGATTTTTTTAATTTGCTCAAAGCCAGATCTGAAAGTAGGATTGCATCTACATAGAAGAGAATACAGGAAATGCAAGCTCGTTGCAGAGTGATGCTGAAGTCCAATTACATACTTCTGGAATTCACATGTAAATTTCTCCCTCCTTTCTGTATTAGACTAAACAGAGTAACATAAGGGTTGTTTCTGGCCCTCTGTTCAAATCATAGTGAAAGCCAAGGAAGTTTGCCTTACAGCAACACATTTTATGCCTAGTTCCAGCCATTGCTGTACTAACTCCCTTAGGAAGAGTAGGCTAATCTGGTTTAAGAGGTGGTGTGTATTACTGGTGATGCAATAACCACTTTAAAGATTCCTCCCTCCCCCTCCACCAATCTTTATCATATTTACCTATCATCTGAGCAAGAATCAGGTATTCTGGGGTTATAATAATTGCTAGGCATTGCATTGTAAATATATAATGGGTATTTTACGTTAGTACAACTGGAACTCCTTATTTCCCTGCCCACCTTAGACCCTGGTAAATGCATTCAATATCAGTTCAGACGTATTGCTAGAAAAAAGTCAAAACCTGAGATGAACTCCTGCCTACTTCTTGCTCCTGGAATGTGTGTTGAAGATGGGTAGGAAATACAGGTTTTACAGAGGTGCTTAGCACCCTTAGACTTCGCTCCTAAATTATAGAACAGTTAAAGGATATTGGTACTTTGAATGTTTTTTTGATTACTTTTACAGATTTTGTATGCTTTGGTAGTATTTCTGCCATTCATTTGCTCTGTGTTTAGGTAAGTAAATAAGATGGGAATCCTGTGGAAAAGGCAATCTTCCCAGATTTATGTAAAGATCTCTCTCAGTGAAGCAAACCAAGTATTGTCCATAGCCCTACATTATGCAGATTCTTGATGAATGAGTCCGTTCTTGAAGTCAGCAAGTAGAATCCATTCATGCTAAGCATGAAGATATGGTAGTGGCTGGCTGAGGGGTCTCTTTCAGGGACAAATCAGAAAGTGATGAAGGCAAGCCCAATGATTTAGCTCTTGGACACTCGGTAAGAAGCTAAACCAACCAAGTAACGCAATTTAAGAAGCAGTTTCAGAACTTTTAAATAAACATCCATGCTCATGTGTCCTGCTGCTATGGTCTTATAAAAAAATGTTAGTTGTAGCCTGCCTTCTCTACTTGGCTCCAAATCCCTAACATCATGTTTGGAGCTGGGCAGATATTGTTCTCGTTCATAATCCAAATCCTGGTCAATTCTACACATCTCTGCTGTGCTGGGTTTGATTCTTTCTTTTACTTTTTATTGGCTTTGATAAAAGGGTGACCTTTCTGCTATATAAGTTTGCTTCCTATAGAGGTTTTCAGCCTTCTTAGGTAGCCTAGAAGACATTACATATTTTCTTTTTGTAGGAAGCTCATAGAGCAAGACATTTTTATGTTCTCCAAAACAAAGTATAAGAGAGAAGTAGAGTGTCTCCAGAAGAGTTGAATATCTTTGCCACTTTTTTAGAATTACCGTTTAGATTACGTTAGCTCTTTAAGGTCTAACATCCCTGGTTTTGGACAGTTTGTTGCCATACAGAAAACAGAGCAGGTAGTCTTCTCAAGGTCTCTAAGGCTAAGTACAGACAGTCAAAAAGGCTGAGGCTGAATCTATTCAGTCTTTTCAGGTTAGCCTAAAATGCAGAGATTAAACTGAGAAACAACTGGACAGACATTTGGTTTTGATTCAGGAAATGCAGCTGCATGCCTGCAGTGGTTCAGGCCAGAAACTGGGGGGCACCAGAGCATAGCTCTCTGGCATGGGCTGTGTGCTTGCTTTCTCTTTCTGCTGCCCCTCAGGTCTCTAGGATTTGCAGTCCAGAATTACAGCAGCAGGACTCTGCAGGGTTGCTCATTACTTCCTATTCCTGCTTCCAGGTGCATCTGTGATTTGGAGTCCACAGTCACAGCCAGCAGTAAGTTTTAAGCAGGGCAGGGCATCTCTGTACTTGGGGAAAGGAGAGTTTAACCTCCCTCCCCTGGCCCTTAGGGGGTGCAGTCCCTGCCTCTCCCCGTTCCCCTCCCCCCACTCCATCACCCTTCTCTGCTGGAGCAGACAGCACAGCCCAGCCCAGGGCTGGAAAGCATGCTGGGATGCTGGGGGACTGTGATTTAACTTGAACAAGGAGGGTCTGTGACAGAAGTCTCATAACCTGGTTTGCGCCAAGTCAGTTAAGTCTGATACTCCATTCAACCAGGTTTACCTTAAGCCAGTTTCAGACATTTTGAAACTGGTTTATGTGTACTGAACTTCTGTTCTGTTACAGGTTTAAACCAGTTTCTGATGACTTGAACTGGTTTATGTATAACTTCTGTCCCTAGCTTTCAACACGTTGGCAGCTCAATAGCTGAGCTGCTGAGTGTGTTTTCAATTCCATGTACATTGCTAAGTGTAATGTAGGCCTCTAGTGGTTCATCTAGTTTGTTGCTTGCATCACAGAGTACCCTATTCCTTCCTCATTTTTGTTGGATAATTATCTTGCTTTGAGCATCTTCACATGGCAAGCCTATGTCTTCTAATATCTTGTTCAATTGCTCTATTCTTAGTTTTTTTTTTTGTTTTTTTTTTTAACTATTCTATTCTATTTCTATTTAGCTGTTCTCTTTTTGTGGCATTGTTTTAGTTACTTTGACTCAGTTGCTATTTGTTTTCTGAGAAATAGTTTGCCATTTTATTCTTTTCGTGTTCACAGAATTTAATTTTTTTAAAATAGTTTAGGATTGCTTGCACTGCATCATTTCAGCTGTGTTTATAATAAGTTTTGGGGGTGGGAAAGCAGAGCCCTGAAAGTCATTGATCCTATCTTTATAACTTTGCCCTTTTAGCTTGGAACAGATTACTTGCAGGGTGGTTCAACATTGTGCAGACAGAATCAGAAGCACCAAACTTTACATAAACCATTTATACTCAGTGTTTGGTATGCTGGCAACATAAATCAACAACAATATCCATTACAAATTCATCGCTTTATCAGTATTATCTTGATAGAACTGATCTCAGCACATGGAAACGTGAACCATACCTCAATAAGTTTAGCCCTTTGTAAATTAATTATTCAGGATGCACAGAACCTGGCCCCTTCAATATAGAGTAATTCTTCCCAGCCAACATCCAGGATTTTAACTTCAGTGGCAATAATAAATAGAAAAAGTCTCAGGTGATGCCAGTATTTTAAAGTAATTAATCATCTTCTCCTCATGCTTCCTCCACCCTCTCTTCATTCTTTTTAACGAAGGGGTTTCAGTAATAAATCTTTAATGATATATGTTAAGAGTAATTCATTAATTAAATCTTGTTCTGCTTATTTCTTTTTTGTGATGCTTTCCTGCTGTATGTTATTAATTGTGAACTGCAAATGTGCATAAAATAAATGTCTGTTTATAGAAAACTGATGGTTTAGCTCACAAATCGGTGAGAGAGATCTTTTCTTGGATTCTGAATGTCATGTAATGCCTGTACTAATAGAAATTGTTAATTATACCAGGGGGCTGTCAAAAAGTAACACTCTAAAGATGGTGTCTTGCTACAGTATCAAAATTAGAGGATGTCTGCAAAAATAAATAAATAAAGAGAAAAGTGATTGGTGTATACCTCAGTTTCTGAGATGAAATAAACAATTAGCATTCATTCATTCATAGTAGGTTTATAAGGATGATACTGTATGGGCAATACTCTTGTATTTATAAATGCCTGTACAGTAAACAAAGTTACATTTTTTTTCTAGTTAAAATAGCAGTTTAATGCTCTGACCTAGAAGAGATAACATATCTTTAAATAATTCTTGTTAGACCTGACCAACCATCATGTATATTCAGTGTGACAGGGACAGATGTGACAGATCGGTTCTGACACACTTCCATACCACAAGTCACTGGCTTGAGGTGACTCATGTCCTTCCTTTTGATTCTGTCCCCTGCTGCAGGACAACACAATGATGCACGAATGAACCTTGCCATTGCCCTCACTGCTGCCAGGTATGGTGCTGCCACAGCCAATTACACTGAAGTGGTGCACTTGCTGAAGAAGACAGATCCAAAGAGCGGGAAGGAGCGTGTCTGTGGCGCACATTGCAGGGATGTTTTAACAGGTGTGTAGATTGCAGTGTTAGAGATATTTACAGTGTGGCCAAACTATTCCTAATAAATACCTTTTATAATCTTACCTAGATCATAGTTCATTGTGTGGAGGTGACTTTTTAAATACATGTGTTCTGCAGCACATTCTCTGAAAGAAACTGAAAATTTTCCCTATTAGCCATTTTTCATAGATTTACTTAAAAGGATGAAGAACAGCTTCTAACAGATGCATTCTGTTTTCCTTGAAGAAATGGGGAAATTAAAAAGAGAAGGGGACCCTAATATTTGTAAATACCAGTTAGCTGACAAAAGAGGCATGTTTCCAGAGTGCAGTAGCATGTCGTTAATGTCAGTCATCTTTAACTTCTGTCAGGGTTTCATTCCAATTCTAGTACATTGGCAGGGTAGACTAGGCTTTACATCTAAACCCTCTGTCAAGCAGAGCTAGCGCTATAAGATGCTGTATGCTGTACATTAATAACACTATTTACCAGCTTTGTGGGTTCAGACTGCAGTGTCACCAGTTTTCCCATGATATGCTCTTAAATAAGAGTTCAATTAACTAAAGTGTAAAAACAATCTAGTACTCTCCTTTTTGTCTGTCAGGGTGACTGATATATATTTCTTTCTTTCTTTTCTTTTTCACCAATTAAAGAAGAAAAAAATCCTCAAATCTCTTCATTAGTGTTTTAATAATTCCAGCTGTTCAGGTCCTTTGGAATGTTGCAGTGTATTTTTATAATGGGTTAAGTTCATAGATGGATTAATAATCCAGAGCGTCAGCAAGCAGGGAAGCAAATGGGGTATGTGATTGATGCTGTTTTCTTTCACAGGGCAGGAATTTGATGTCAAAGCCAAGTGTGTTATCAATGCTACGGGACCTTTCACAGACTCTGTGCGCAAAATGGATGATCAGGAAGTAGCAAACATCTGTCAGCCAAGTGCAGGCGTGCATATTGTGATGCCTGGTTATTATAGGTAACGGTATTCGAAGCTTAAACCATTTGTAATAATCTCTGTGTCTGTAATGAATAAGGTCGTAGAATACACACTTCCAGTTTTTATGGGACTGCTTGAACGCATGCCTTTTAAGTCAGGAATTCTAGCAGTGTGTACATGCCAGCAAAAGGATTTTATCTTGCTGAAAACCAACCAGATAGTTGTCTCTTCTCTAAGACTCAGTTAAACAAAGAATGAAATTGAAATAAGTGGGAAGTTAGCCAAAGTACTTACTGCAGACTTGATGTGGTATGTATCACCTCCCCAACAATGCTGATTCTAGAGATAAGCAATGTATAAAACCTCTTAGGAACATAAACTTGTATATTTGTTTGCGTCTTTCATGAAGAAAATCCACTCTAATTTTTATGTTAGGTCACTATCTGTACAATGGCTGTACCTGTCAGTAAAGTCTGTCTTTTAAAAATAGACAGTTTTTAATGCGACTAAATTCAGAATTTATACAGCATGCATTTCCAGTTCAGTAAGGCTTCTTTCTTTGGGTTCCTGGTTCCTAGATGTGAAAATAGTCCCCAGAACAAGTAATATAACAAGGAATTTATTTTGGAAATATTGAAGGGATTTAATGGAATGCAGACAGAAGTAGAGTCCCTTCATGAAACAGGAGGAAATCAGTTCGTGGGAATGGGATTTAAGGTCAAAGAATCTTTTGTGGATCCTGGTTATATACTTAAAGTTGTATTGTCTTATAGTGTGAATTAGATCAGATCCATTGAAGATACCCCTATTTAATCCAACAGAGAACATCTTCTACCTCTAATCCACTCATAAAATTAACAAAAATGATTTTGTTCTATATTTGCTGCAGCTGTTTGAGGATATCAGTCCATAATGATGCATTTTTTTGCCTGATTTGAGAAGTCTTCCTCACATTTTGTGGAGTGCTGCCTCAGTGCAACATAGTGGCTGTTGAAGCCATGGCCTTTCTTGCAGATCTGAATGTTTGGAGCAAAATTTGTATTAAGAAATGCATGACCAGCCATCTTTGGCTCTTTTACCTTAACTGAAATTAATGAGGGTCAAACTTATGGCTCATTTAAATTGCACTGCTATCCCATTTCTTTCCTTCCTTTTTCCTTCTAATTTCTAAACATTGCTTGAAATATAATTAGAATGGTTTGTTAGATGGGAGTTGTTGTGCATTATTGTTTACCCTCCTAGCTGGCCTTCCTTAGAGTCAACAGCTCCAGTTCCTACAGACTGGGAAGGTCATAAATACCTAGTTATCTGACACCAGATTTGTCTTTTCAGTATGGGGTGCTAAAGAGAAGCTGAAACCCTCCCGCCTCCCCAGGTCCAGATCACCACAGAACTTGAAAGTAAAATATTCCAAAACAAATCTTTTGAACCAGTCCTCTGACCCAGATCAAAGGATATTGGTGTAGATCCTTAGATGGCATTTTTGTGTATATAAAAATATAGAAGATTTTGGAGTCCTGTTTTACTTCATCCTTAAAAACAGATTCAACACAAATTTCACTGTGCTTTTCTATAATATTTTCCATCTGAGCTCACTAAACCATGTTACAGTGTATATAGCATACTGTTCTTCCCATTTTACAGGTCGATTAGTGAAGATTATATAGACAGAACAAGATTAAAACCTATATTGTCTAACTCAATGCCTGTAAATGATGAAGTTATTTTTCTTTTCTCCATATAAATGTAAATCTAGGAGACTTTCTAATGCAGGTTTGTGATGGTCAGCTGCCCATTTTGTTCATTGATACAGGACTTTGGAGCAGAATTTATTTATTTGCTACATTATTTTGTGATCTTCTCTAGCCTGGACCAAGATGATTCAGTGTGCATAATTAATTTAATCAGTGGTTCTATAATGAACTAAATTATTTGAAACTAAAATTGAACAAAGGAACTCTCCAAATCTTGTTCTCCAGTGTATGTCAGTGCGTAGGCATTTCTTTTCTCATAAAATAGGGTCTACCCACATATAGCCTCCATGGGATAACTGATTAGCTAAAGCTGTACTGATTTTGCTTTAAATAAGATGGGTATGCCAACAAGGAACAGTCTGCATAAGTAGTATCTTCATAGCATTTAATCTTTGCTATATGTATAAATTGGCAAATCCCCATTCTTGTTGCCAAAAGAATACTGCTCAGCAAAATCTGATTTTTTTTGGCAACCACTTTCCTTTTGGTAACTGCCTTTATAGAACTTTGGTCCAGTCTTGCACAAGCGAATATGTCATAACAAACGGGGAACTTTTGTCTAAGTATAGATAAGATTTAATTTAACCTTGATTTTAATTAAATTAATAGAATCATAAAAAATTAGGGTTGGAAGGGACCTCAGGAGGTCATCAAGTCTAACCCTGTGCTCAAAGCAGGACCATCCCTAACTAGACCATCCTAGCTAAAGCTTTGTCTACCCAAGCCTTAAATCAACCTTAAAAACCTCCAAGGATGAAAATTCCACAACCTCTCTTGGTAACCTGTTCCAGTGCTTTACTTGCCCCCTAGTGAAAGATATTTTCCTAATATCTAACCTAAACTTCCCTTGCTGCAACTCAAGACAATTCATTTATCTGCTGCTGGTTTCTTATATCTTCATGCTCTCATTAATTCTCTCTGTATTCCTTCTCTCATTAATTCTATTTTTAGTATATATGTTCTTAGTCAAATAGCTACAATATATTTCCCTCTTACCCAACCCATGCAAATTTATTATTTTTTGGAAGCCTCGCTATTTCTGTTGATGGACTGCCCAGATGGGCTAGGGACAGACATTACACACAAACCGGTTTAAGTGATCAGAAACTGGTTTAAACCTGAAACAGAACACGCATTCAGTACACATAAACCAGTTTCAAAATGGCTAAAACCAGTTTGAGATCAACCTGGTTGAATGTAGTATCAGACTTAATTGTTTTGGCTCAAACCAGTTTATGCAATCTCTGTCCCAGACCTCTTGTTGGTTTAAGATAAACCAGACACTCTCAGAATGTTGTTTAGGCTGGGCAGGGCTCTCTGCTCCACAGCCAGAGCAGGGACTGGCCCTAGCAGAGACACCAGCTGGCATGGCCCCGTTAAGGCGAAGTGGACAGGGAGGGCGTCAGTTCTTCCCTCCTTCCCCTTCTCCCCCATTGCAGCTACGGTCAGCCTGTCTGCTGTGGACTGCAGCAGTGGCCCGTGGAGCTGGCAGACCCCAGCTGCAAGGAAGGAATGGGGGAAGGAATTAACCCTTCTCCCTGGCCCCTTCACTTTAATGGGACCATGCTGGTTAGGTTGTCCCACAGGGTTAGGAGTGGAGCTCTCTTCCCTGCTGGGGGGGGGACTCTTCCCCCTCCTCCTCCCAGAGTGGGGAGGGACACTGTGGATGGGGACTCTTTCTCCTTCTCCTCCATTTACCCCGCTGCTGGTGGGGGGGCAGCACTCCATGTGATGCTGTCCAGCCCCAGAGTGGGGGCAGACGGAGGCTCTGTTCCATGCTGGGGGGAACTCTTCCCCCTCCTTTTTTTCCCCCTAGAGGGGCAGTGGGAGTATAGAGTTCAGCTGAGTAGGGTGGGGGTGTGAGAGAATGGGGGAGTTGTAGGGACCCCCAAGCACTTCCCCCCATGGCATGCAGCCCCCGTTGCCTGACAGCAGCAGCAGGCGGGGATGTCTGGGTGCTCATTCCCGGTGCAGGCACAGCTTCGGCCAGTGCTGCACAGCGGGGAGGGGGAGTGTAGCCTGCCTCCCTGAGCCTGCAGCTGTACTGCCTGAGCCTGCAGTGAGGGAAGCCCTGCACTAGAGCCAGCTGCTTCCCCCACTCCCCTCTGTGCAGGTCTTGCACTCTGGTGAGAGTGGAGGGAGCCCCACCCTCTGCTTCCATGTACAGTCCAGTGCTGGGCTTTCCCACTGTGAGTGCAGAACTGGAGGCCCCAGGGATAGAGGCAGCCAGCACTGCACCAGGGGTGAGGACTGCAGCCCCGTGCAGCCTGCCCAGCCGCTTCTATCTCCATGGCTCTGCACCTCACCTGCAGCTCTGCACTTGCGGCGGGGAAGCCCAGTGCTGGACTCTGCAGCGAAGTAGGGGGTGGAGCTGCCTCCGCTCCCAGCAGTGTGGGATCCACACAATGGAGAGTGGAGAAAGCAGCTGGCTCCAGTGCAGGGCTTCCCCCACTGCAAGTTCAGGAAGCAGAGCCTCCAGGATAACGCAGGCTCCACTCCCTCTCCCCTGTGCAGCACCGGCTAGAGCTATGCCTGTGCCAGGCACAGGCACCCTGACCTCACTGCCTGCTGCTGCTGCCAGGCAGCAGGGCTGCAGACCACAGGGGAGTGTGTGAGGGTCCCCACACCCTACCCAGCTGAGCTCCATGCTCCTGCTGCCCCTCTGGGGGGAGGAGGAGAGGGAAGAGTTTCCCCCAACATGGAACAGACCCTCCCCCTACCCTGGGGAGCGGAGGAGCAGGGGGAAGAGTCCCCCTCTGGGGCTGGGAAGCATCCCATAGAGCCCTCTCTCCCCACCCTGCAGTGATGGGGGAAAGCAGGGGAAGAGTCGCCCTCTGGGGCCAGGCAGCCTCACAGAGCCGGCCTCCCCACCCACCGCAGGGGGGGGAAGAGGAGGGAGAAGAACCCCTGCTAGCACTGAACAGGGCTCCCCTACCAGCCCCATGGTGGTGGAGGAGAAGGAGGAGTGGGAAGAGTTCCCTTCTGGGGCCGGCCATCCCTGTGTGCCCAAATTACTCCTAGCTGTCAGGGAGTCACTGGGACAGGTTTGCCAGGGCCTGGCCATGCCCCCACTCCTCAGCTCAGCTTCCCTGTGGAAGTGAAGGGCTGCTCTAGCGCCCCCAGATTTGTCTTGAGCCACTCCAGGCATGTGCCAAATGTCAATCCATTTGCAAACCGGGTCACTCTCTGCAAGTTAGACTAACCTGCAAGGACTGAATCAATTCAGGCTTTTTGAATGTCTATCTCTAACCATGGAGGCAGGATTTAAAGTGCCTTTATTATGTG